TTTGTTTTGTCCTATAGAACCACATCCAAGCAGTCGAAACAATTCTTGATGCTGAACTTCTTCCATGTATCCACTAGTGAAAGGCCTTCATTCTCGGCTGTTTCCAGAATAAAATTGTAGCTTCTCTTGACATAGGTTCAGCATGAAATTTCTGATGATGCCTTGATCAAGGGGTTGAATCAAAGACGTGGTCTTTGATGACATGTATAGAAGCTTAATGTTGGGATTGCTTATGGTGGGCGAATGCGACGGAGCGTTATCTAGGAGCAGCAAAGCCTTGAAGCTGATGTTCTTGGCTGCGCAAAACTTCACCAAACGGGGTGAGAAGCAGTCATTTATATACTCCTCAAATAATTTTTTTTTTTTTGCTACGATAATGCATCCCGGTATTGTATTCTTTTAGATGCTCCCTTTCCGGAAATACCCACATTGTAGAGTATTTGACAGTTTTTCTTGAACCGAAAATTCTGAACTGTTGTCCACCAACCATAAGGGGTTGCTCCACTGATCAACTTTTCCGAAAACAGTAACCTTCTATGTGTCCAGTGTCACGAGATATTCCATGTTGGTACCACTTAAGCCAAATCCCATATGCTACGTGGACTTCGTATACAATCGAATTTTGCTCGTTGAGATATCTTTAAGTGGGCTACGTTTTAGTTGGGTCCTCGTTAGTTGGGCTATAGCCCACCTAAATCGAAGTCAAACGTCATTTCTGACAGTGGTGAGGGGCTCGTCAAGGGGTGTTACACTCGCCTCTTTTGTTGGCTAGCTCGAGCTTGAAACCCTTGAGCTTCAATGTCGGCTCCTGGCTTGTCGACACTGATCAGAAGCACAAAACACCTTTTTATCACTTTTACTCTTTATTCTCTCACTCACTTGTTATGTCTGTAGTGTGGGTGTGTAGATTGCTGGCCAGCAATGTCAGGATTCTGCAGCGGGTGGGGTTTTTCGGCGGCGGATGAACGGACTGTTCACAGTGGATGCCGGTGCTCGACGGTTGTCACTGTATGGCACGACGGATATTGCACTGGGGCTCGATCGGGTGATCGGCGGTGGTCTCTCAGTGGTCGTTGGTGTTTTACCGATGGACACTTGCTACAGGGGTGTTGGCGTGTTAACGGACGCCCTCGTGGTTTAGCCCGTAATTAATGGGTCTTGACTCCGTATTCGGTGGTATTAGCCGGCATTTGTTGGTGACTCTGTTTCTGTATATTTCACTTCTTTTCAAAACTTATAACAAACTTGGCAGATCAATCTATCTTGCGCAATGGCTGAAGTGAAAGAGCCCCTTTTCTTCAGTTTGACCCAGTAGGGTCCCGCTTGACCTAAGCCCATTTCCACCTCCCTCCTACTTTTCCACCACCCCTTTTCCATATCCTTCTCCTGTTTCCAACGCCCACCTTCATCCTTACTCCTTCCCGTTATGTGTTCTGTGTTATGTGTTGTTGGTGTGACTGGGTTACAATATTTAATTGGACCGTTGGTTTGGGAGTGGTCTTTCATCTGACTTACATATATAATTATATTTACATTCAAAACAAGACAATATTGCATACAAGAAACTGATATATGTACAGATTAAATTCACAATGAATTCACTTATCCCTATTCCTCGCTCTCGCTATCTCCTGATTTTTCTCGCTCGAAGTGAACCAATAGGGTACAGGAACCAAAACGGTAACAGGGGCAAGACAGTTCCTAATCATGAGCAATTTCAGAGTTGCTTTTGAGGCACCTCGAGTAACTTACATTGCTCAGTGAAAAAGATCGCTGTCATTTGCTTTCTCACTTTTCGCATCACAGCAACATTTGAAGGGGCACCTCCATGAGAAGCCGAAAAGCTGCTGTCAATCAAAACAACAATAAAAGCGGAACTCGGAGACATTTAAATCATCTCAGTTTAATAACCTTCGTTCGACCCTTACCAACCGTGAACATGAAAGGAACTTGTTGCAACCTTACACTTACGTCGGTCGAATGCTTATCTGGTTGATGTGGTAGAAAAATCCGATCTGCCTGACCAAATACTCAAAATCGATACTCGTCGAAGCAATTCCGTCCCATCGCTTGACAAACTGCCGTTGGATGGAACTGCGAACCGAGCTCTGAATTACCACGGTGCCGTTCTGCTGACGGAGGACATCCATCCCCACTTTTGGTGATTTTGCTGGACGCCTTCCGTATGGTCGTGATTCGGTCCCGTTTTTGCTATACACCACCGAAATTTTTCTGCGGCCGTCGACCGAAGTCTCCAGGATAAAGTCGACGAAGATAATCTGTCAGCTTGATTTGTGCTTCGTCTTCCTGACGGGTTTTCATTTCGGTCTCGTCCGGTAGATCGTTAATGGGTTTGAAGTTCAAACGAGGATCGCACTCACCGGAAACAGCAGCTACTTTATCGTCATCCTCCTCTTCGGCTTTGGCAGTGGCAGCGGCTACACTGATGCTCTGGTTGCCGTTGGAGGGGCCATGGTGCCAACGGGAATGTTAGTCGAAAGAGGATCGGAGCTAGTTATCACTACATTGACTGGTGATGCCTTTTCCAATGGGACTGCTGTTACGACTGGAGAAATCGAAGATGATGGGATCGCTGCATTATAGGTGGAATTTCAGATGTTTAGAAGAATATTGGAGAGCTTTTTTGATCGGAGATGATCTTTTCGGAGTGACGACTGGGACTGGTTGCTGGAAGGACAACCCTTAAAGCTGGTTGGAAGTGTAGGTTGTTATTGGTAGTAAGCAGGCACCAGCTCAGGTTCTTCCATAATATTTCAGTTATTAGAAAGGTTCAGAAAACACTTGGGATTACTTTATTTACAAACAAAACTGACGTCTAATATGAGACTTATATGCTTAAAAAGAGTAAACGGAGAAGGCAGAGAAAATATTGAGGTACATTGAGTTACTCGCGAGTTACTACAAAAAAGCAACTCAGAGTAAACCTGTCTCACTCCTTTTCAGCTTGATAGCTCAGCCCAACTAACAAAAACCTTTCTCCGGAGGGGGGGGGGGGGGGAGAATATGGGCGTGGGAACTCCAAGCACCGATTTGGCAGCTTCTCCAGCGGTTGGCCGTTCCACAAGCAACGAACCCAGAGCAAGTTTTGGAATCCCTGTCGACGAACATCAGCGAGTTCTGCTTCGATCCGGAGAACGGCACCACATTCGAAAAATGGTTTGCCCGTTACTCGGATTTGTTTGAAAGCGACGCACGAAGTCTGGACGACGCAGCAAAAGTTAGGCTTCTGCTCTGGAAGTTGGACACGTCCTCTCACAGTCGCTCCGTCAACTACATCCTTCCGAAACTACCAAAGGACGTCACGTTTGCCGATACAGTCAAGACACTCACAAAGATCTTCGGCAGACAGACCTCCGTATTCCACAAACGCTACCAGTGCATGCAGCTACTCAAGTCCGGGGCCGACGACATAATCACCAATGGCGGAAATGTCAACAGGGCATTGATTTTCGTCTGTGGTCTCAAAGCACTACGCTACGTGGACATTCGAGCAAGGCTTCTATCCCGGATTGTAGGTGAAACGGCTGATGCTCCGGTGACAATTCAAACTCTGATCGACGAGTTCCAGCGGCTCTTCAACATCAAGTCGGACACTACGATGATAGAACATCCATCAAGTTCGAAGAATTCGGTCCATAGCATTTCGGATAAGAAATCCGGAAACCAGCATCGTCCACTGAAAACGGAAAGCAAGTCCACTCCTCGTACTCCATGCTGGTAGTGTGGTCAGATGCACTACGTCCGTGACTGTCCATTTTCTGATCATCTCTGCAAGGTATGTAACCGCATCGGTCATAAAGAAGGCTACTGTAGCTGCATCAAGAAGTCTTCAAGCGACTCTTCCACTCAACCTCGAGAGAAGAAGCAGTTCCAGAAGAAGGCCGGTCCCAGATCTCAAGCCAAGGGAATTTTTGTGAAGCACATCGCAAACAGCAACCGGAAACGCAAGTATGTGACCATCAACATCAACGGTGTCATGACTTCGCTACAACTGGATTCAGCAAGTGATATCACGGTGATTTCCAAGAAAACTTGGCAGCAACTGAGACGACCAAAGCTAACTCCATCATTGATCGAAGCCTCCAACGCATCTGGTGGACCACTCGCTCTCATCGGAGAATTCCACTGTGAAGCAGTCCTCAATGACATGGTCAAGCGTGGTCAGTAGAGTGATGCAACATTTGAAATTTTCGCTCCACAGTACTTAAACGATTCCAAATCGGATCCTGACTAACCTCTCAAAATTTGAACCCATTTGGTGAGAAACTGAGATGGCACAAACCATTTGAAGTTTGTATGGGAATTACTATGGTAAAACCAAGATTTTTGGTCATGTCTATCTAATAATTCACCATATCGGTCTGCTTCAGAAACTTTCAACTGTACTTGTAGGAAATTTTCCCAGCTACAACTTTGCTCAAGATCACTTTTTGATTAAATGCAAGGATCGAAAGTTATAAATGGTTCAATGCGCTGATGTCTTATGATCATGCTCAATCAACTACTCAGCAGGCAACATTGGTGTTTCTGGGGCGTTGAATAGGACACAGAAATCATGGCTACTATGTCACACTGCAAAATACAGTGTTGCCTAAAGAGCAGCTGCTTGATCATGTCATAAGTTTACCAATCTCTTAAATAATTAATAACTTTTTCCTGTCTCGTTTTACATAGAAACGATCTTGAGGAAAGTTTTAGCTGAGAAAATTTTCTATGAGAATGGCTATCGAACTGTTTCGCAGCTCAATATGGAAAAAGACTAGAAGGCAATGAACAAAAAGTTGAGATTTCCCATAGTAATTTACATGTAAACTTCAAATGGCTTGTGCGAAGTCTGTTTCTAACCAAATGAGTTGTAACTTTGGGAGGCTAATCAGGACCCGATTTGAAACCATTTAAGCACTGTGGAGCGAAAAAGTCAAATTTTGCATCAGTCTAGTGGTCAGTGTTTCGTAACGTCATCACCAGATCTCAACGTAATGGGTATTGATTGGATCGACATGTTCAACCTGTGGTCGGTTCCGTTCGATACTCTCTGCAATCAAGTTTCTGCTGTATCCAGACCATGTTTCGCCGAAGCTAGAGCACAGCTGCAAGCCGAGCATCCGGCGGTTTTCGACGACTCGCTGGGCCACTGCAAGAAAACCAAGGTAAAGTTATTCCTCAAACCTAACGCCAAACCAGTTTTCTGTTCGAAGCGACCAGTTCCGTTCAACACGATTCCGCTGGTGGATGCAGAATTAACACGTCTTCAGTCTCTGGGAATCATCGCACCGATCGATTTCTCAGAGTGGGCCGCTCCGATTGTAGCAGTCCGCAAGCCGAATGGTAAAGTTCGCATCTGTGCGGACTACTCCACGGGACTCAATGAAGCGCTTGAAGCAAACCACTATCCTCTACCTACCCCGGAGGAGATCTTCGCACAGCTCAACGAAAGCACCATATTCAGCATCATCGACCTTTCCGATGCATACCTGCAAGTGGAAGTAGATGAAGAATCGAAGAAGCTCCTCACCATAAACACGCATCGAGGCCTCTTCCAATTCAACCGGCTCGCTCCAGGGGTGAAGTCAGCGCCTGGAACATTCCAAAGACTGGTTGACAGCATGATAGCCGACATTCCTGGTGTTCGGTCGTTTCTCGGCGACGCTATCATCTTCGAAAGAACCTGGGAGGAACACAAGGCGTCACTAGACAAGCTACTACAACGTCTAGGGGAAAATGGGTTCCGTGTCAAGCTGGAAAAGTGCCATTTCTTCCAAACCGAAATCAGATATCAGATTCTCAGAATCCGGATCCAGAGAAGCTTCAAGCCATCGCCTCTATTCCGGCACCCACCAATGTTTCCGAAGTTCGATCGTTCCTGGGAGCCGTTAATTTCTACGGCAGATTCGTGCGCAACATCCATGAACTTCGTCATCCTCTCGACCAATTACTCAAGAAGGATTCGAAGTGGCAGTGGAATTCCGTTTGCCAACGGTCTTTTGAGCAATTCAAGCAAGTCCTGCAGTCCAATATGTTGCTGACGCATTACGACCCGAAGTTACCAATCATCGTAGCAGTGGACGCCTCCAGCACGGGCATCGGTGCAGTCATCTTCCATGAATTTTCGAATGGACATCTGAAGGCAATCCAGCACGCATCAAGATCCCTCACTCCAGCGGAGAAAGGTTACGGGCAGCCGGAAAAAGAAGCTTTTGCACTAATATATGCGGTAACGAAGTTTCACAAGTACCTCCTTGGGCGCAGATTCACTCTGCTCACGGATCACAAAACGCTGTTATCAATCTTTGGATCGAAGAAGGGCATTCCTTTGCACACCGCAAATCGACTTCAACGATGGGCATTGATGCTTCTGAACTACGACTTCGACATTCGGCACGTGTCTACCAACGACTTCGGATGCGCCGATATGCTGTCAAGACTCATCGACCGTTCTAAGCAGCAATAAGAGGAATACGTTGTGGCAGCGATATCCCTAGAAAAAGACATGGTGAGCATTATTCAAAACACTATCGAGCAGGTACCAGTTTCGTTCGCAGACATCAAAAGTGCAACACAGGCAGATGAACCACTACAAGCGGTGCTGCAGTTCATTCGTGAGGGTTGGCCAAACGATGCACGATCAGTCAAAGATCCAGAGATTCGAGTCTACTTCAACAGGCGGGAGTCTCTCACCAACGTCGATGGCTGTATACTGTTCCACGACAGGGTAGTCGTTCCGAGCAAGTTCAGAAGGCAAATCCTGAAGCAGTTTCATCGCGGACATTCCGGCATGGTACGAATGAAGTCTATTGCACGCAGTTTCGTTTATTGGCCCGGAATCGACAACGACATCGAGAATTTCGTCCGGCAATGCACTCCCTGCTGCACTGCTGGAAAAGCACCAGTCAAAACAACGCTTGAATCGTGGCCCATCCCTGATAAGCCGTGGTCACGCATCCATATTGACTACGCAGGACCTGTGGACGGCGTATTTTTCCTGGTTATTGTCGACCCGTACACCAAATGGCCCGAAGTATACGCAACTAAAACCACAACGACAAGAACAACAATCAAGCTACTTACTCAAACGTTCGCAACATTTGGCGTGCCAGAAACCATCCTCAATCAAATGGGATAGCAGAACGGTTCGTGGACACCTTGAAGCGCACTCTTCGGAAGATTCGATCGGGAGGAGACACACTGGAGGAAGCATTGCAGATGTTTTTGCAAGTTTACAGGTCAACACCAACGGCTGACCTAGGTGAAAAGTCTCCTGCAGAAATAATGTTCGGACGACCGGTCCGCACAGTTTCGTCAATGCTACTCCCGCAACACAACCGTATTTCAGCAGCAAAACCGAAAGCAGATGAGCAAAACAAGCGTTTCAACAAGAAGTATGGAGCGATTTTGAGGCAGTTCGTCCCGGGTGATGTTGTATATGCTTAAGTTCATCAAGCAAATTCCTGGAAATGGCAGGCTGCCACAGTAATCGAGCGTGTCGGAAAAGTCAACTACAACGTTTTCCTGGAGGATAATCAGCGGCTCATCCGTTCTCATGCCAATCAACTGAAGCAACGTGCGGTCGAATCTGGTCCAGATCATAGTCCAAGCCAAGGTCCTAGTCTGTTATCAGTATTCTTCGACGGTTTTGGCCTAGACGTACCATCCGTTCCAGCAACGATACCGGCTGCAGTGCCCGACGAACTTGGTCCAGTTGATGAGGCGGAGTATTTTTCGGATGATAGTGAGGCAGACAATCCACCACAGCAAGATCCAGTACCAGTTCCGCCAGCAACAAGGGAACACCGGCAGACTCGTTTACCAGCTAGATTCGAGGAGTACTGGATGAATTAAGAGGGGAGATGTTCCATCCAAGTAATCACGATGTTCCATTCAAGTAATCGCAGCAACCTACAGCTGCGACCGAGATGGAAAAAAATAGTGATTCGAAGTGTAGATGTCAACCTGAATAAACGTTTAGTTAGAAGCACTCAAACTTTATTTATTCTTTGAGAAGAACACTTAAAAAAAAAAATGATCTCAATAAATATAGTCAAAATCGTTCGGTGATGTTCTTAGTCAAATTAAGGCTTTATTTACATCACAATTCAGCTACAGCTATCGTTACATAAATTACTTAAATATAATCAAGGCCACAGCGGAGGCAACCAAGATCGAGCTGGCTGCCTTTTGTCCGGCCGAGTTTTTCAGTCGATCTTCCGAAACTTGGTTGCAATTCTCAGTGGTACAGGTTGTGCATTCCTTTCCACCCAGCCCATCGCAAGCGGCTGCCTTCAGGTCGGATTGACATCCTCGTTCAACTGTTGGGTTTCAATTTGGCATTAGTTTCCTGGATTCAGAGAAATAAACCTACGAATCAACTTACAAACATTATTAACGATACGTGCGTAGCACTGATCCCCGGCCTTGTAAACCTTGCAGTAGTTGGACTTGGGCTCGCCCGTCAACTGGTCTGAGCAAGTTTTGTCCGAACCGCTGTTGCACTGGTAGCACCGCAGACGATCCGTCGGGAAGATTTTGGTGCATTTTTCGGCTTCGCAAATTTCGCACATCTTGCCGGTACAGGCCTTGATCTCATCGGCCGTCAGGTCCCCTTGGCAGCCTCGCGTAAGAACACCCTCTGGAATAAAATTTAGACATTTGTAATTTTAGAAGGTCCTCGAAAGTGGATAGTGCATACCGGTATCCGTCTTCGCGTAGCACTTCTTCTCCGATGGCTTGGCACAGGGTTGGCTGGCAGCTTTTCCCGATAGACAGCTTCCGTCAGCGTCCACGCTGGTGCTACATTGGATGCATCGGTCTGTGTTCAGCAAAGTAGCTGCAGCTTCCTTGTTGCAAGCGTTGGCCGGACACTGTCGGCACTCAGTATTGTCCTTACAGGGGTTTTCGTTAATCGCCAAATCGGTCACGCATCCACGGACTATCTTAGTGCTTTCCAAACGTTCGTAGCACTGATTTCCGTCCTTGTAGGTTTTGCAGAACTGTGCCTTGTCATCGGTTTGAACTTCGGCGCAGGTTGCAGCGTCCGTTTCCTTACACTGATGGCACATGAGCCAGTTTTGCTTGTTGCATGCTTCCGCATCGGTACAGGCCAAGCAGGTGGCATCCTGATCGTCCTTGCATTTGTTTTGGTCGGCGATGGTCAAAGTGGACAAACATCCACGTTCCAGAACGTTGGCTGCGGAAATGATATTGTAAATCGTAATCGTCAAAAACTACTCCATTTTTGAAACTTACCTTGCAATCGAGTGAAACAGGTATCATCCCGCTTGTCACACTCCACAGCTGGAGAGCTCGCATCAATGCATTTAGCATCTGTTGACTTGCAAATCAGACACTTGGGGAAGGTCCGTAACTTTTCACCCGATAGGCTGTTGCATCCATCTCCGGAGCACACGTCGCAGTATTTGTTGTTGGTGCAGCCGTCGTTCGTGGCCGGGAGGTCCGATTTACAACCGCGAGTTACTGTTGGATAAATCGTTAGGATGCCATGTTTGATTGATAAAAAAAAAACACCAGCTCACCTTCATTTCCATCGACCTTGGCGTAGCATTGATCTTCCTTGACATATTTACTGCAGACACTTGCTCCAGTGAGTTCCTGCTCGTTGGTGCAAGTGTTTGTGGTTTCAACACACTTGTGACATTTCACCCACGTGGCGCTATTGCAACCGTCCGCCGGACAGGTCATGCAGGATTGACCTTCCACGGCTGCACAGTTGGACTGGTCCGCCACGGGAAGATCTTTCAGGCAGCCACGTTCGATTTTGTTGCCATTGTTGCGCATGTAGCACACGTCATCGGTATTTGTGCAAGAACTAGGAGTTTTTCCAGTTCCTTGTGCACAAGTTTGATCCGTGTCCGTGTCTGCGCATATGATACAGTTGATTGCTGTGTGGGAAAACCGAAATGGTAATGTAGAAATGTTTGCAACGAACATTGAACAATCTTCCGGTTTACTGTGTAATTTTAACGGAACCTGGTGTTCAGAGGACGCTTTGTTTTCCGTCGATCTTATTTTCCGTACTGAGTACTAATACTACCGACGCTTGGGAGGGAGCTGCCACACACCTTGACCCTATTGATCCATCAACTCATAGACGGGGAACAAGGGCTTTACTGGAAAGCATGATCAGAGAACCCATGCCCTTTGAAATGAGAGGCAGTCACGCTTACCACTACACCACCGGCGGTACTGACAAAGGGCGCTTGAAAGCATATAATACAAAAAAATCGTCTATTTTGTGAAACATTTGGATGTGTGTTACTTACTCACTTTTCGGTCAAACTGATTTGAGTGGAACGAGTTGCAGTTTGTGTATTTTTCGCTCTCGTAAAACCTTATTGAAAGTTTATTCCGACCGGATATCTGGTTCCGGAGATATGATCAAAAGAGTGACGTAAGTATTGCAGGAAACACTTGACATTTCTCGAAGGCTGAACTGATTCGAGCACAACTGGTTCTATTTTGTGTGAATCTTACTCTCACAGAACCTTATTGAATTTTATATCGACCGGACTCTTGGTTCCGGAGATATGACCATATATGAGGTTTTCTGTTCTCTCCTGAAATTATGAAGTTTTTGAAGTTCTCGTGTAGCTTGTTTTACTGTCATGGATTTATTTAAACTGTCCCAAAAATGTCCAAGCTTCTGCGATTTCACTGAACTTATGGGAGGAACCCAGCACATTTCCAAACATCTCTGAAGTTCAATAAAATTTAGGATTTCCCCGAAAATATGGGAACTTCACAAAAATTTCCTCTAACTTTCTGAAATTCATAGAACTTTCCTGGAGTTCCAGAATTTTTGGAGCTTACGAAACATCTTCAAAAAATGTTCCCACATTTTTCTATTGTTCATGAAACATTTGTGAAGTTCTTGGAAGTTCCAATGACTTCTATAAAGTTTTTCTGAAGATATCTTGACTTCTGTGAAGCTTTGGAAGATTTTCTGAAAAATCTTTACTTCCATGAAATTTCTGAAACTTTTTTAAGTTCCCAAAGTTTTTTCTAGAATCAAAACAAAATATTTAATATAGGGGAAATGGATGTAATGTCGGCCTAAATACCCCTAATTTGGGCCCATATATAAATTCAGCAATCGACTAAATGTTCAATAGCTACCAAACATATCCATAAGGACCGTCTCAATGCCGTGTTCATCTAGATAAAATTGATAAATAGTAGATTTTTAGTGATGGGCCCGAACTTAGATCCATAGGCCAACATTAGAGCCATTTCCTCTAGATCTACTATTTTCAACGAAGTTCTCATATCGATCATCACGTTACACTCGCTTTTTGGAGTATGGTATGTGCACTTGGCCTTCATAGGGGGGGTTGGTCTCGCAAAACAAAATAAATATCAAAGATTTGCACTGAAGTTCTCGAGATTTTCTTAAAGTTCTTGGAACTGTTCTTAAATTATCCAAACACTATGGGCCTTATTACGGGTGTCACCTCACGGTGAAAACGAAGTGAAGTGACCAGTTGTCACTCACGGTGAAGTGATTGCCGTGTAAATCAAATGGGAATCACTTCACCGTGAGTGATAAGTTGTCACTTCACCGTGAAGTGACATCGGTAATAAGGGCCTATTTCATAACTTTTTCAATAGTCTTCCCAAAGGATTCCTGAATTTTCTTAAAGTTCTCCAGACTGAAAAGTTTTGTTTATAAGTACCTGCAGTTCTACTAAAGTTATTTTTTTTCCTTTTGTTTTGTTTTCCGTCGATCTTGTTTTCCGTTCTGAGCACCAATGCTACCGATGCCAGAGAGGCAGCTCCCACACCTGGACCCTACCTATCGACCCAACATTCCGAAGGAAGGCGTGATAAAAGATGATATGCCTCAGAATATCCCGGCGGTGCCGACTGGGATTGAGCCCAGGCCTTTTGGGGTGAGAGGTAATCACGTTTACCCAAACACCAACCGGCGCTGCTTACTAAAATTAATTGACTTGCCTTTAATTTTGCATAATTTTCCTAAAAATTTTTAAACTTCAGAAACGTTCCCGGAAACGCTTAGCCGTAATCACTAATTTTCCATGAACTACTTTGGACAGCCCTGAAGTTGTCTATGCTTCTCTGAGGTTTACTAAATATTCATAATTCCCTGACGCTTATAAAATTTTCAGATCGTTCATGGAATTCTAGGAATATAACTTAATTCCGCGGAACTTTCCATAAGTCTCAGAAAATTTCCTTATTTGAATGGGATTGCTCGGAAGCTATTTGATCGATCCTCAATGTACGCGACACTTCACTAAATATCATGAAACTATCGAAAATTTTCTAAATATCTTTGAAGGTCTTTGAATTTGTTGATGATATCGCATTTTTTATAGCTAAAGGAACTGCCTTGAAGTTCTCTAATGAACTTAGTTAAATTTTCGCCTATTTTTGATGTTGTTGATAATTATATAAATCTCTGAAGATACTCTAATATTTTCCTGATTTTTTTTCCTTGATATGTTTTCCGTCGATCTTGATTTCCATGCTGAGCACCAATGCTACCGACGCCAAGGAGGCATCTTCCACACCTAGACCCTACCTTTCGACCCATCAACTCATGAATCGGGGACCAACTTCCCTTCCGAAAGAAGGCGTGATCAGAGATGTTATGCCTCAGAACATCCCGGCGGCGCCGACTGGGATTGAACCCAGACCTGCTGGGGTGAGAGGCAATCACCCTTACCACTACACCACTGGCGCCGCTATATTTTCCTGATGTTAATGTAACTTCCCTTACGTTCTAGAAATTCTCTCGGAGGTTTGCTGAAGATTCCGGAAATTCCCTGAATTTCTCGAAAATTCTGTAAGCTGTCTGCAATTTCCTTGAAATTATTTAAACTGTCAGCTCAGGGAATCTTCCTTGAAGCTCACAATTCTTCAGTATCTTTATTCTAGTATCCCAAAGTATTCTTACCATTTTTAAACTTTTCTTAAGTATTCTGGACCTCTACGAATGATGCATGATGTATGATAGTGGTCTGCAACTCATTGTAGCACGGAAATTAAGTCCGACAGCTATAGACTCTCCCCTCTGCTGTTCGGCTTGATCGAGCTTAATTACCTCTGATTGTACTCAGCATGTCACTGTATGAAGGGCCAAAAACGGAATACATAGGCAAAATAGATAAGGCACATGCACGGGATTAAAAAGAATCTCCTTCCTCTCTGAAGGTCCCGAAATAGTTCTGAAGGTCCTTCTTTACTTCCCTGAAATTCTCAACATATCTTAAAGTTTTCGTATTTTTTCCTGAAGGTCATGGAGCTGCTTATAGAATTTTAAACTCCTTCAAAAGTCTCGACTTTCCTGCGTTTATGGGAACTGAACCTTAAGATCTCTGAAATTCACCAAAGATCTCAAGATCTAGCTTTTCTGAGGTGCTTGCAACGTTTTAAAAGTTTATATCATATCATATTTTCAAGTTGTTTTAGTAACTTCTCTGCGGGAACAGCTTGTTTATTAAGCTTCGCTGAAATGCTTAGCATTTCCTCTCGTGCCTCTGATTTTCTGTAAAGTTCTTCTAATTGATGTGAAGTTAATGGGATTGATCATCTCAAGTCTTTCATATAGTTAAATGCAATCTTGAAATATTCTTTATTTTTTTTCCATAATTATGGTACTTTGAAAACTTTGAATATCTTGAACTTGTACTAGAAATACGAATCTATAAACATTTAATCAAACTATTGAATGTTTTAAAGTTTTGTTTTCTAGTCTTCAACTAATTATTAAAAATTAAGTAAATGTTAAACTCCAACATAGGGGAATTTACGTATTCTCGTCAATCTAAGCAGCGTCCGAACTTCTATTGGCGATTTCTCAGCGTCACACACATACATGACAGGTTTGTTTGTTGACATTGATCTGCTGCTTGCTGTTCTACCAATTCCAATCGACAGAATTGATCAAAACGGGTTGAACATGTTTTTACAACGCTCCAAACTTCTCAGGTGAGTGTGAGTATTGTCGGCAGTCTCTTTTTCTTCGGCACCCTTTCCATTTGAACTGCGTGTTAACCAACTGTTCTATTATCGGCAACTCGAAATCAGCCATATTTTGTAGTGTGTATATTTCATTTAAAGAAAAATATGGCAGAACAGGATTGCACAGTCGTAAAAATGTAATCAGATTGAAGCTGAGAAGGTGAGGAATCGGTTTAATACATTCAGCGAAGAGTTTTTATGGGAAAATACAGTTAAATAAACGTTTCAATTTCGGTTGCCGAAAACAGTCAATGGGTGCCGAAGCCATAATTTACCCTATAATGAATTTCATTGTTTATTTGTTTATTTGTTCTTCGTCTTCGACAGTGTCGTACAGACTAGTTTAACTTATGCTATGTTTTTAATCCTATTTTTAAAACAATTTTTGGACACATTAAAATCAAACAAATCACTAACATTGTTGAAAGCTCTGAGGCAAGAACTGAGCGGGTTGTTATGACCATAACATGTTCTATGTGCGGGAACTGCGATAAGTGCTGAGTACCGCAGCTGACGCTGTGGAACGTTCAGTGATACTTGCAGGAGAAGATCCGACACGTTATTCTGGACGATATCGAATATAACCAGCCGCTGCAATTTCAGCCGTCTTGCCGATAGCAGTTCCAGATCAATTAGTTGACATCGTTCTGGATATGCAGGTAGATGGACAGGATCATTCCACGGTAGGTGCCGAAGAGCAAAGCGAATGAATGATTTCTGCACACGTTCGATGCGGATCACCTGAGATGTATGGTACGGTGCCCAAATGGGAGCAGCATATTCCAGGATACTTCGCACTAAAGCACAGAACAAGGCTTTTAATGTGTGCACGTCGGTGAATTGAGATGCATTGCGGCGACACTCTTTATTTTAAACTGATTGTCATGTCTTAACAACG